GAGCAAACAGAGACGCGGCGTCGGCCTCGTCAAACATACATTTGCCGTGCCTCGCGATTAAAGGATAGTAAGGTCCCAATTTTTCCATTGTTTCATCGACGTCGCCGCTATCGCCCACGCCAGCGAGGAGTAGTCGTCGTAACTCGTTCAGGTGCGGTTTCAATCGCTCAAATTTTTCGTAGAGCACCTTCCAGTCGACGTCGATTAAGGCCTTCCTAATGTCCTCCTCGTCGTTCTCCAGCCAGCGCTTTCTCAAGACGGCGTCCTTGCGAACGGCACCGAGGTCCCTAGCAAATTCTCTCAGGAGATCCTCTAGGCTCCGAAACTTGGCGTAATGTGCCAATAGTGACGTTATGAAGGCGCTACCGTCCTGCAAATACTCGTCAGGTTTAGTCTTGTTAAACAAGTTCCTCGTCTCTTCCTCTTCGCAGACTTTGTGCGCGGCCGGATGGGTCACCGCCCAGACGAGCGCGTCCCTATGTTTGTGCTCCGTGTAGTTCTTCAAAATCTTTTCGAACGCGTCTAGTATGGCCTGCAACTCGGTCGGCGACAGCGTAGGTGCGGAGAGAAAGACGAACCGCTTGACGTTGTCAATCTTTGCGATTTCGCCAACGGCTTTCAAGAGTTCCGGAGAAAACTTTTCGTCGATAAAGGTCTGGGCATATTCAACCTTGGCTTTCAACTCGGCGTAAATGCGAAGAGTCTGACCTTCCTCGGCGGCGACCCAGCGAACGAGCGCCGCGTCCCACTGCGGCGTGCCCGCGGCATCGAAAACGGCCCGGAGCAGTGGATCGAACGCTGGATGCTGGCTAGACCACGAAGAGTGCCGCGTGACTTTCTTGCACCACTCTTCGAAGAGTCGCTTAAACTTTAGAACGGAATCCTGCCAGATCTGGGACTGGTATCGCTCGAGCACAGAGTTGTACTTTTTAAACGTATTGGTTTTAACGTCGTAGTACATTCCGCCGCTAATGCCGTGCAAGTACTTGTCCACGGCATCTAGGTCGTACACGTCCAAGTCGTACAAATTACTAAGCATGTCGTCGCCAGCAAATTCCACGCCCAACGCCTCGGGGTACTGCTTTATCACGTCCCTGGTCCTGACTGTGTACATGAATTCGCCCAGGACGTTGTTTGGGTCCTTATACATTCTGTAGATCAAGTGTTTGAGGGCCGGGATGACTACGTTGCGCAGAAACCCGGGCTTGTATTTCTCGCTGGCCAGCGAATTGACCTTGGACTGAATGCTCTTGAGATAGAGTGTGTAGGAAAAGACCAAGTCTATGGCTCGCTTCGGATCGTACAACGCCGTTCGAGTGTCGTTAGCGTGGTTCGCCACAATGTAATCAAACACGCGATTGGCCGTGTCGCCGTAGTCTTTGTAACGGGTAGTTTCGACACCAGCGTTAGAGTACAGCGCGTAGTAAAAATCTTTAAAGTAGTCGTCGACTCTACTTTCCAACCTTGCCTCAAACCCTATGGGAATGGCTTTCAAAGGTTTGAACAAGAGATTGTCGGTGGTCATTTTTTTATTTCAGCTACAGAAACACGTTTTCGCCTTTAGCGCGTTTATTTCTATAATAGGTCATTGCCGCGTAAGTCACGACTCCCGCTGTGGCCAGGACGGCAACTCCACCGACGACGTACAGCCAACCGCTTCCTTCGTCTTCCGCTGCAACAGTATGATACGGCGTCTTGGCGACGTCCGACACTTTTTCGTTGCGCGTCGTTTCTTTAGGAAGAGCCGAATCTCGAAGAGACGGTATCGCGTCGTCCGACCGTCGTCTCTTGGCCGCCTCCGCCGCAGTCTGAGGGGACGTTTGGGCGACGCCCGACTCCTTCTCTTTGGGCGTCGTTTCCCTAGGAGGAGCCGAATCCCGATGAGACGGTATCGCGTCGTCCGACCGCCGTCTATTGGCCGCCTCCGCCGCAGTCTGAGCTGATGTTTGGGCGACGCTCGACTCCTTCTCCATGGGCGTCCTTTCCTTAGGAGGAGGGGGAGGAGGAGGAGGAGTCGACGGCGACTCGTTCGTGCTATCCCGAAGAGACGGTCTAGCGTCGTCCGAAAGTCGTCTCTTGGTACCGACACCCCTCAGCTTCGAGTTGTAGCTGGAAATTAAAGACTCGACGCCGACATAGTCCAGACCGTTGTCGTAAAAGGTCTCGATCAGGCTGTCTACGTCGTGAAGGTCGGCGTCGTACAGCTTTTTTTCCTCGGTCTTCATGACCACCTCGACGCCGGCATCTTTCAGTCTGTCTCGCGTGTACACCGTGGCCAGGAACTTGCCGAGTAGATTGTTCTGATCTCTGTACATTCTGACGATGACGTGTTTTAAGGATGGCACGGCCACCTTCTCGTGTTCGGCCTTGAGCTCGGCGGACCTCTTAAAGTGAAAAAGAAACGCGGTGTATTCGTTAATCACGTCGTTCATTCGGGTCACGTCGTTAAATAGACCAAGTATAACGTTGCGATACTTGGCCACGATGTAATCGTACGCGGCTTTCATTATCTCTCTGTCGGTCCTGTACCCCGTGTGCGCCCCGGCTCTATCGTACAAGTCTTTAATGTGCACTCGCAAATAGTCGTCCATCGACTTTTCGAGTCGTTCTTCAAACTGAGAAGGAGGCTTCTTGAGTATAACGTTATTCTTATTAGACATTGTTAGGTGTTTTGTATTAGTCCTGGACGTCAGCCGTAATCTTTGAGGTTGTATTCGGAAAGAGCTCGGGTCACGTCATCTACAAAAAGCGTCTTGCGGTGTTGCATCTGGGCGTAGACGACGGCCTTTCCGACGACCTCGGTGACGAATCTATCGACCTCGAATTGCATGTTACCGTACACGTTCTCTGATATGCGATCGATCTCCATCTCCTTGGCCAATCGACGCAATTCGTTCTTACAGAGAACGTCGTCCACGGCAGTCGTTGGCTGTCGACTGTCCAATTGCTTCTTCTTCTTATTCTTGGCTACCGTCCTCTTTTGCCGGGTCACGTTGTTTGAGGCGTTTTTTATGCGCGCCATATTCTCACCATCCATCTCCTCTAACGATATAAGCGGGAAACTTCAGTTTTTTATTTGAAATCGACGTTACAATCATGTTACGCGTATACTACGACAACCTGGCAAACACCATCGCGACCGGACTTCGAAATCCCGGCGACTCCAGCGTCTTTGTCGACTTTCTCTACGCCTTGGAGACTATGCACGCGGCGACGATCCTTCTCGTCGGCCGCCCCTTCATGACGGTAGGCGCAGCGCTGCATCTATTCCATAGCCGCACGAAAAACAGATACAGACTCAACGTGTACGTCTACATGAGACTGGTTCGGACGGAAGTCTGGTACCTCAAGACGGCCTGTCGATACATCGACTTTCGCCTCTACCGCGACGACGCAAGCGCCCTCGGTTCGGTGATCTGCGACTACACGTTCGAAAGCGGTCGAGTGTACGCGAACGCGACCGCCTTTCGCTACGAAGAGGCCAGCAAGATTCTGTGTCTGACTCTGACCGACTCTCTCACCTTCTTTGTGGCCTGCGTTCGCAAGTTGAGTTACCTGCTTGACATGACTCCCGATCGAGTCGTTTGCAGCGTCGTCGAGCCACGCACCGTGAAAAACGCCAGAGTGCATCGAGATTTTATGAGCCTGTACGAGAGCGTAGATCCGAGGTACTTTAGAGTTTGCGATTACCTTGACTGGTTGTGTAGGTATCCTTTGTTTGGGCAATAAAAATTAAAAAAAAACCGTGCACGTTGAGTTTTCGTCTCAATCTCCTCGCGTAAGCATGAGTAACGACGTAGATATGACCAAGGTCGAAGAAGAAGAAGAAGAAGAAGAATGGATAGTGTTAGACGAATGGAACGATGGCGATGATGAAAAAGAGGAGGGAGAGATTACGGACGACGAGGTCAACCACTCCGCTCAGACTATTTATAGTTCCGAAGACGAGACGAACGATCGGTATAATCGTTTCAAAAACGAACGTTGGCGGGTATGGAAGAGGCGCCCCGCTACCGGCTCGTACTACCGGGCGACCGGATACCTTACCCCGTACAAGTGGACGTCTTTGAAACAATGTTGCGCGGATTCGGAGAAAAAGCCAACGTCATGATAGAAGCTCCTACCGGATCGGGCAAGACAATGGCCATGCTCGGAGCCGTTCGCGAATGGATAACGACACGACCCAGCGGCAAAATCTACCTCTGCTCTAGAATGCACCAACAGCTCGACCAAATGGTAGCGGTGGCCAAGGCGTTCATCGGAGACGCCGCGCACATTTCTCGTCTCGTCGGCAAGGACCGAGTCTGCCTCTTGGAACGGGAAGTCCACAGCGGTAACGTGCCCCAACTCTGCAGTCAACACAGGGCCTCGTCGACGTGCCGATTCTACCGCAATTGGAAAGAGCAGCATGGACCAGAGACGCGTTTGCCCGACGTTAGGGACATCGAGGACTTGGTGGAGAGTTGTGCTGCAAACGATATCTGCCCCTACTACGTCAACGAACAGTACTACGTAGCCAGGTCGAAAATAGTGCTGGCTCCCTACAACTACTTGATCGATCCCTTCGTCCGTAGCACGCTCAACATCAATCTCAGCGGCGCGATTCTGATCCTCGACGAGGCGCACAACATTGAAACGTTTTGTAGAGACGCCATGTCCCTACAAGTGTCCAGATCGCAGCTTCAGACGTACGCACGACGATTTTCTCGCTACGTCGAGCTTCGCGAATTCTTCGAGGGGCTCCTGGCCATGATGAACGACGTTGGATATGCGATTGTTCGCGGCGATGATCTCCTGGCAAGACGAGACGCTACCTCAAGACGGACAACGTGAGCCTGGGTCAAGTCGTGAGTCCCTTAACGTCTCGACATCCTTTGTCCGACCGGTTAAACACCACGTTGATTGACCGCATCGTCACTCAGTTTTACTACCCCGAGATATTTGGTGCCCAAGGCTTTGCAATGTTTGTCGTCCAGGGTCGCGAGTCGCCAGAACTCAGGATGACCTGCATGGACTCGAGTTACGCCATGAAGTCTGTGTCGTCGTGCACGCACTCTATCGTCCTGGCCTCGGGGACTCTGAGTCCGATGTCGTCGTACGAAAAGGAATTGGGCGTCTTCTTTACTCACAAGGTGTCCGCCAAGGAACACGTCGTGTCCAAGCGTCACTTCTTTGTCCGAAGGATCTCGCATTCGCTCAAGGGTGACAAAGAGTTTTACATGAATTACAGCGCATGCCAGAACGAAGAGCTACTCAAGGCCGTAGGTTCCGTCGTCTACGAGTCGACCAAGATCCTGAAGAAAAATGTCGGCGAAACAAAGGCTGGCGTCCTGTGCTTCTTCCCTTCTTACAAGCTACTTCAGACCTGTCCAGACGTGTGGCGCAAAGTGCCTCTATGGCCCAAGTTGGTCAAGGTGGTCGGCGGGCATCTGTTTCTGGAAGATTCTGAAAACTCGGACCTCTTGTTCCATAGGTACAAGACTGCGTTGATTGACGGAGAGCCCGGCACGGTGGCCCTGTTTCTAGTCGTGCACAGAGGCAAAATGAGTGAAGGCGTCGACTTCTCCGATTCGCTGGCTCGACTCGTCGTATCCGTGGGGTTACCCTATCCGTCGTATCACAGTCCGGACGTAAAGGTCAAGGTCGAGTTTAACCGCAGCAGGGGCGGAGACGGGGACGAATGGTATAAAACGCAGGCGATGCGAGCGCTTAACCAGTCCGTGGGACGCTGCGTACGTCACGTGAACGACTGGGGGCCGTCCTATTGCTCGACATAGGTATTTTAGACCCGACGTTTGGAGCGATTTATCGCATTGGGTCCAGGTCTGCGAAGACGAGTCGTCCACCTTCAAAGACACGAAGAAATCTTTGCTCGAGATAAACTCGTTTTTGAACGGTCGTCTATGAAAATGCACATCCTCAGTTTGCACACGTATCTGCGCGAACACAGATACACAACTAGCCGACAGGGCTACGCTTACTGGTATTGCACGATTCGCGACGCTACTATTGCTCCTACACCAGCTGCTTCGGTCAACAGCGATCCCGTTTCGACCGACCAGGCTCCAACACGAGTCGGTACTGTTCCATCGGACAAGCGGGGACCGTCCGACAAGCCTATACTCGAATCGTGCACGTGCGAGACTGCTCCTACACCAGCTGCTTCGGTCAACAGCGATCCCGTTTCGGCCGACCAGGCTCCAGTACGAGTCGCTACTCTTCCACTGGACAAGCGGGGACTGTCTGACAAGACTATACTCGAATGGTGCGTGATTGAATACGCCAATACTCTACCGTCGGTAGAAGAATTTCAAACGAGATACAACCTGTGGACTGGTGGAAGGGACAAGTTCGACGCAGGAGTGTTGAAAAACTTTATGACTGCGCCGATACCTCCCTCTTCGGACGAATATGACACCTACGTTAGAGAAGTGGAGATTGCCATGGAGAAGCTGGGCATATATTTTACTCCGACAATCGTCTCAAACCTCATGGAATTGTACGAAAGATTGCACGGACTGTCGGACGCAGACACGCGCGAGCTGGTGTTGCACTTTTGGAGAAAGCCCAAGGCCACCGAGTGGATTCTCGTCGAGATTCTTCTCTATTGCATAAAGGTGGGCGTCGGTGTCTACGACATCGTTGACGGGCATCTCGACTGAATTCGAGGCGAGATCCGGAACGACATGCTGCGCAACATTCGAGACCAGTTGAGTGCGTCTTTCGACCCGGACAACGTGCAGCGAGACAAGTTGGAGAAGGACATTCTCGCGTACCGAAGAGACCTGCGAAGACTCTCTCGACAAGTGTGCGTCAACACGGACCACGAGTTTACGCACGAGTTTATTGCACCACTCTCTGGACATTGCGAAAACTACGTGCCGTGCAAGAAAGGCCGATGGTATCTATGGTCTTAATAAAATACGTACGAATGATTGTCGAAGGTGTTTCTTTGGAAGCTCTGTACTCGCGTTTGAGCGAAATTGATTGATTGATTGATTGATTGGGGTTTTTTGGCGCATCAGCAACTAAGGCTATATTGCGCCAAGCTTATACTATTGCAATTCGGGTTTAAGAAGAGGAAAGAGCTATTGTAGCGAAATGTATGATAAAACCATGAACATGAATGTGTATAAGTGTAAACAATATGACAATGAGTTTAGGATAGAAAGTAAAATCACAGTCGGTGTAGAAGGCCGATATCTGTGAGGAAATTAAAAACACAACTATATGGAATGAGCGGTTCGTCACCTAGTAGTAAGGCAAGGTGTAGTGGAATGTGTTCTTTATAAAGCAGTGAGTAGTGTTTATACCGGCATTGGTCATACATAGGGCATTCAATGAGTATGTGCATAATACTTAGAGGTAGGTTGCAGTGCACACATTCAGGGGCCTCCTCCCCGCTCAAGAGGTGTCCATGTGTAAGACGAGTATGACCGATTCTTAGCCTACACAGTACGACTTCGTAAAAGCGCTCCCGATGTCGGGCGCTCTCCCACTCGCCTAGAAGAGGTTTGATTGCATGTAGTTTGTTGCCGGTTTCGCCGTTCCACTGCAGCTGCCACTTTGCTTTGATGCAACGTTTCAGATAATTGTGGTAATCTTTGTAGGGTATTTGGTGTGTGTCAATTTCTCTATCATTAGCAGAACTGGCTGCACTATCAGCTGCTTCATTTCCAGGAATGCCAACATGGCTAGGAACCCAGCATAAGACTATGTCAAAATTTTTCGTTGCAGCCAGGATTATCTTGTACTTTAACTCAGAAACCAGTGGGTTTTTTACACGGTTCATTGATGCGACAGCCTTCAGAGAGCTTAAAGAGTCGGTGTAGATTACAGCGTGAGAAAGGCGTTTTTTGATTATGTAATCAACAGCTAACAACAAACCATAAAGCTCTGCTGTTAGTATAGAGGCTTTTGAATTTATTCTCTTCACCTGATTTACCGATGGTCCCACCATAGGACAGCCTACTACGGAGTCTTTTTTTGTCCCGTCTGTATAAAAACTGGCATACTTGTGATATTTGGTCTGAAGCTCAAAGAAGTTCTGCCTTATGACTTCCTGTGGAACATTCTTTTTGTTATACTTGGTCAGTGTAAGGTCGCAATGTATCTGGCAGTTGTTCCATGGAGCTATTTCCGGAGGGTATTGGACCAACTGAGGCTTTGCATCCATCCCAACGGATTGTGCTGCAGTATTATTCCTCATAGAAAAAGGGGGGACTGTGGAAGGTTTGTTTTCAAATGTGCGTTGGAACTTGATCGTCTCAATATTATCTCGAACGGAGTGCTCCGCGACCGAGCGAACCCTGGCAGAGTACATAAAACCCAGGGAAAACCTCTTATACTCAAGGGACAATTCGTTTGCTTCCGCGTAAAGGCTAAGCACTGGGGAGGTATGAAATGCACCAATAGCCAGTCGCAGTCCTTGATGATGAATAGGATCTAACATCTTTAGAACTGATGCCCGAGCAGAGTTATAGACAATACAACCATAATCAAGCTGGGAGCGAATGACTGAGTGATAGATACGCAGCAGACACAGTCGGTCCGAGCCCCATGATGCATGTGACAAGACCTTAAGGATGTTTAGAGATTTAAGGCACTTGAGTTTTAATCTCTTAATGTGTGGAACGAAAGTCAACTTGGAATCGAACACAAGGCCCAAAAACTTGTGCTCATTTTTTACAACAATAGGAGAACCATACATGTTCAAAGACGGTTCCTGAAGAGCACCACGTCGACGAGAAAAGTTGACACAAGCTGTTTTTTCGGGAGAAAATTTAAACCCATTCGTATCGGCCCATCTGACCAAATTATTGACCGCAAGTTGAACGCGACGTTCACAAATTGAGAGATTACAGGATGAAACGGAGATCTGGAGATCATCAACATATAAGGAATATTGCACCGAAGGAGGAATTACACGGCCAATGGAATTAAGTTTGACGATAAAAAGAGTGACACTCAGTACACCCCCCTGAGGGACTCCATTCTCCTGTAAAAACTCCCTCGAGAGAGTTTTTCCCAGCCTCACGCGGAACGTACGGTGCTGCAGGTAACTCTGTATGGCACTCAACATTCGGCCACGGAAACCAAGATCGAATAAATATTGCAGAATGCCGTAACGCCAGGCTGTGTCGTATGCTTTTTCCAAATCAAAGAAGATGGAGAGACACTGTTGTCTGTTGACAAACGCCTCACGTACGAAGGTCTCAAAGCGGACGAGATGATCGACAGTGGACCGTGCTGACCGAAAGCCACACTGGAACTTATCAAGGCAGCTGTTTCGTTCTAGAAAAAACATGAGTCTCTTATTAATCATCCTTTCTAATGTCTTGGAAAGACAGCTAGTTAGAGCTATTGGTCTGTAGCTAGATGCACAAGAGGGATCTTTGCCGGGCTTAAGCACTGGTACAACCACAGCGGTCTTCCAGGAGGACGGAAAGTGGCCCTCGAGCCAAACTCTATTAAAAAGGTACAAAATTAGCTCCATAGTGGATGGATGAAGATGTTCGAGCATTTGATAATGAATACCATCTGGTCCAGGGGCAGTTTGTTTGGAACCAAGAAGTGCCATTTGAAGTTCGTATAATGTAAATAGAGTGTTGTAGGGTTCGTGCGTGCCACCTGATGTGATAACAGCTTTTTTTTCTGCATTGATCTTGTATCGCTGGAACGTTAAGGTGTAATGTTCCGAACTGGAGACATACTCGAAGTGTTCACCGAGGATGTTGGCCTGTTCCTCAAGGCTTGCAGAACAAACTCCATTCCGACTCAAGAGTGGGACAGTGAATGCCCGGTAAGAGCCGTCAATTTTATGTACGCGATCCCAGACTTCCTTTGCAGATACAGTGCTGTTAATTGAAGAAGCGTACCCTCTAAAACTTTTTTTCTTAGCATGCCTTCTAATCCACCTCGCCTGGGACCTTTTTCTCTTAAATTCAATAAGATTGTGTGTTGTAGGGTAGCGCCTAAATATACCCCACGCTCGATTTTGTTCTTTTTTGGCCAAACGGCAATCTTTGTTCCACCAGGGCTTTGGTCTCCTGGGCAGATGCGAGGACGTCATGGGGATGGAGAGAATGGCAGCTTGTAAAATGTGCTGAGTGATATGTTGAGTGGCTTTATTGATATCAAGATCGTCAAGTGATGTGCATGCAAAAAGAGATGATTCTTTAAAGGTAGGCCAGTTGGCATTTTCGAATTTCCAACGAGGACAGCGTGTTGGGACTGTCATGGGAAGATGGTTAAATTCTAAGATGATGAGAAAGTGGTCACTTCCATAAGGATTCGGTATGACCTTCCATGAAAGCAATGGGAATAATGATGGGTGACAAATAGATAGGTCAATGGAAGTGAAAGTGTGAGTTGCTGAGCTAAAATATGTAGATTCATTTGTGTTCAGCAGGCACAATCCCACAGAAAGCAAAAAACGTTCAACAAGGGCCCCTCTAGAATCCCGTCTGTCACTACCCCACAGGGGATTATGTGCATTAAAATCTCCTAAAAGTAAAAAAGGTGAAGGAAGTTGATTAACAAGGTCTTCTAGCTCCTCCATATGTAACTGATAATTGGGAGGTACATACAATGAACAGACTGTAAATATTCGATCTAACAAAATACGTGTAGCCACCGCCTCAAGTGAAGTCTGCAGGGCTACCTCGTTAGAAGGAATTGAACGTTGGACAACCACCGCAACACCTCCAGCTGCGTGAGCTGCATGTGTACG